TTAAATGCTTTTTTGAAAGAAAACTATTTGTACTTTCAACACTTTGGAGACCGCGCGTGTTTTACGTTCCGCGGCCGCGCGGGACTTCGGTGAAATTTTTAGGGATCTTATCTAGCAAATTCAAAAGAAGAACCCACTGTATAATGCAGAAGAAATCTTATCGGATAAAATGGAAAAGAAAATGAATGAAAAACCTAATAATTGTTTACGAAATGCGAGCTGAAAGGTCCTATGCGGTCGGAGGACTGCAGCCCACATATGGGCTGCGTGGGCTCCAAGGTGTTAAAACCACGGATAGGACATATTCACCCACTGTAAAGTTACGACTAAGCCTTAGAAAGGAATGAATAAAAATTGCCAAACTGGCATTAGGTCAAACTGTGCACTGCAATGCCCCCTCTTACTGGAATAGACTCCAAGAAAGGTAGCAGTGACTGCAGATTTACTTATACTACCGGGATAACCGTGTCTGGACCAGACTCAAGACATTTCTCCGCCGATATTCAATGTGAGTAGCATTTTCTCTTCTGGTAACAAAAATAAGTAATACCTAAAGCAACTACTTACCATTGCAGATGATATCATATGAGATTTGAGAGGACCTCGTAAGGAAGGTACCAATGAAGTCACGGTCACGGACGATGATGTCCTGTACAGTACAAAGCGGCAACTTCGAAGAAGCACAGTGGTGAAGTGAAGAGCACATGAAGGAGCAGCACGAGGGTCAATCCTACCGTTGCGACTTTTTGAAAAATTTCTACGACCCCTCTCCTCCGTGTGGGATTTGATATGACCTCTTCTATCCACCCCCCCCCCTCCCCACTGTCACTGTCTTTTTCCTCCAAAAATGCCGTCGAGCGAGGTTTCACCTCGATTTCACATATGATTTTGTGCGAGTAGAGCGAGTACGACTCCCCCTTTAAACACAACTCAAATACGACCCCCCGTTGGTAACTTGTCGCAATGTAGGAATGACCCTGGTCCCAGGGTCATTCCTACATTGCGGTACAGGTTCAACCGTGCGTTGCGCGAATTCAGAAATTTTTACAACCCCTTTTTTAAGGAACCATCAGCACAACGCCCTGCATTAGTTATTCCTGTTTTTTACATATTTTTATGCCCATTATCAATTTATGGGCCGTCATCGACATGGAAAGGGGGCGGTAGTGGAAAGTTATTACATTCTTAAAGCAGAATATGTCGGAAGGAAGGTCAATCGTCTGCACTCAATTTCAATAAGAGTCCTATGTTATTCTTGGAGGGGTGGAGTCGTATTTGGTGGAATCCGCATCCGTCCTGCAAGACATCGGAGAAGAAAATCTTCTGGGCAGTTGGAACATCTACGAAATTCGGAGGAACTTCGAAAATTCAGTATTTCTGCCGTTTCAGCTGCTTGTTATAAGTGCACGTAGGGCCCAGCCGCCTATTAGTGAAGGGTTCGGGAGTTGTACGAGCCCTCCCCGTAGAGAGGATATCAGTATGACTCCTTCCCCTGTGCATTAGCTATTTATGTCTTTTAAAGGACGAATTCACGATGAAAAAGCAACCCATTTCAAATTAACCTAGGGATGGTGAGTGGTACACGAAAGAAGGAAGAACCATGAGAAACGGCCCAGAACCCGAGAAATGGACCCCTTCCTTGCCCGTTGATTCGAGCATTGATGCGACTCTCATCGCTCTTCAACACTACGCTCTCTCAGCTATCTAATCACTCG